GAAGCAGCTCTGACTGTGTAAACAAATCTAATGCATGAAGGACTGATGGACGAGCAGAGCTGTCTTCAGGCTACCGCAAATTATAATTTCATGTTGTGGTAGAGCGTTGTGTGAGGCAGGTTGTTTATGAGGAATTTGCACTCAGACAGACCAAGATTATTTTTCACATGAGCACTAAAGAATGGCTCATATGTATCATGCAGCCAAGGCCATTGTGATTGACTTCTATAAGGAAGCTCCCACTGTAGTGCCATCAGCTTATTTCCATGGTAACCTGTATGATTTCTTTTGTGAACAGTATCAATGATAATGAAGAAACTGCGATCCCATTATACAAGAAACTGATATGACCAAAAGTACTTATTGTTTTTTTAGTGAGAGAAGAAAAGTAAAATATTTTCTAATCTGAAGCCAGTTTAAATCAGATGTGTGTCATCATTCATGAATTTTCCGTAGGGGATAAATAAAGTATCTATATCTATCTATCTATATATCTATCTATCTATCTATCTATCCCAAAAGAGTCTATATTATAAAGGTATACAGTATATACTAGGCCTACACAAGCCTGATGATACCATCTCACTTTAGTGGAAATGAGTGTGTCACATAGCGTTTCCTCCAACCAGCATAGGAAAGCAATTATCAGCCGCCTTCTAAATAGCTTTGACTTTCACACCTGCTCTTTAAATTCCAGATATAGCAGCAGAGTAAGTGCTAAGTAAGTAATTCCTTATATTTTAATGATCTTGCTTTTACTGCCTTTTCCCCCCATATTTCAGTAGCACAGTGGTCATGTGATGCAGGCCTGGAGAAACATAGATTACATGCTTCTCCAAGCTGGTAAAAAAGTCTGAATGAAAGTAATACAGTGTATACCTTGGACATCGGACCTAATTGGCCAGATGTGGTCATTAGATTCTTCATCTTTTATCTTCATTCTCAAATGCTGTTTGACTGTATTCTCCAGTTTTCCCATCCTGTCTCCAAGCACCTCAGGGCGTCCTCTGGCTGCTGCCTTCTCTTGAACAGCTCATAAAAAACTGTAAATTCAGCCCCCTGGTGGAATCATCAGGTAATGACAGAAGGTGCCCGCACCATACTGTAAAAAAAAACAAAACACCGTATATCAGCCTCTAGCACTGCCCTAAAGATGCTGCTGCTGAGGTTAGGGTTACCTGTATATAGACAAAATTTCATCATTATTTATCTGTGCAGTTTAAAAACCTATGTACATTGTGCATTTATACAGGTATTTCTACCTTTGTGATTGAACTGCAAGACTTTCGTTATTTCTGTAATCTAATGCCACCTGAGAGGAGTCAAAAAACTCAAAACATGAAGAGGACAGAGTAAACTAGGAGGAGGAAGACAAAATAGTCTGTAACATGCAGTGTATTAGCAGCAGGGCCAGGTCTGCTGTGGGCTGCACACACATTGATTCCCTTCTTTGTGTGGGCAGCAGTGTTCTGAGCTCAAAGGAGATTTGTTATTCAATAAATGCAAAGGATTGTAGCCAGTCCAAAGAACGTATTCCACTTTATATTCATTATTTGTTGTTTAGTTTTACTATTACATAGTGTATAATCAAACATAAAAAAAAACATAGATTACACATGATATTTCTGGACTAGCATGTCTAAAAATGCATAAAAATCAAATGCTGCTAATATACATACTTTGTTCTGCACGTGCTTGTTATTGTTTATGTTATGTGCTGTTTAAGCCAAGACTTCATTGTGCGCCATCTGGCTCTCGGCTGGGGAGCAAAACAGTTGATTAAAGCACGCAATTAGCGTGGAACCGGTTCTGTCAAGCTCACCCGGCAGGGATTAAAGAGTGCGCTCATTCACTGTGACAACCGCGCTGTCATGCATATGTAGGATAGGCAAGCAGCACTCCTTCAAACACAGGACTTCCTTAGGCGCGCCACACTGCTCATGACATGCTAATATGAGGTCAACAGAGTCATTTTTAACTGGGTTTTACGTTTCAGCCGCAGCAAGTGTCGGTACCACTGGAGTATCATACGGTTAAATCTCTGGAGATAAAATGAAACAACCACTTCTAACTGAAGCGTGTTGCGATCAGAGAAAGCCTCAAGGTCATCACTGAGACACTGACAAATAAACTAACGGGTGTTTTTCACACAAAAAACAAGTCACATGGAAAAGCCCAGTGTTCTTGTGACACTTCACTGCTGCAAGAAGCCAAAATTAAACTATTTTCTCAAATGAAATAATATCAATAAATAGCTGCTATTTGTAACACCAACTATCCTACAGCCATGGACAGGTTATGAGACAACAGGGCCCCACCATTCCTGGATAGGAGCAAGGCACCCAGATTGAAGTAGACAGTCGTGTTGTTTGTAGTTGTTTTGTGTCTGCGGTAGATTTGCATCTCATTATGTGCCTTGTGATTGTTTTGTGTGTCTTTACAGTCACTTTACTTCTCTTTGTAGTAGATTTTCCCTTCTTAGTCGTTCTGTGTCTCTTTGTTGGCGTTTTGCATCTCTTTTAAGTTGTTGCATTGTGTTATGTTTCTGTGTGTGTCTCTCTGTGGTCACTTTGTTTTCATTTAATTGACTTTCCTTGACTGACCTCATGCAGAGGCTCTGGTCCAGGCCTGTGCCAACGCTGGCCACCACTCTGACCCCACCCCTGGGTGCAGAGTCTAGCCAAAGTGAACTTTCCCAACCTTCGAGCCAGCAAGGGCAGACAGAGGGCCCGGTCTAATGAAGGTGCGGACAGATTTTAAAGGTAACGTCAAAGACTAACATGGACACAGACTGCATGATGAAGGCAATTGGGGATAGTACGTAGGACAAGAGAGATCAAGTTAAGAGCCAGAACTGTTGAAACACGGCTTCAAGGCAGCAGAAACAGACGAGAGGAGTGTGCTCTCAGAAAAACCACTCTGAGGAAAAGACTCATCAACCTTCACAGGCAGCACCAGGATTTAGGCTGCGTTCACAGAGAGTTTAAGGAGTTCATGAGACAGATGCCAGGGCAGAAATGGAATGGAAACTGTGTGATGCAAAGAAACATTTGGAGATTTACACTTCATCAGTTCAATACAGGATAAAAATTTTACACCAGACGGTCCAACCCAGGAAGATCTGTCAGAGTTATGTTCATGAATGTGAAACATTAATGATCAAAATATATACAGACATATTTCTTTTTGGCCTAAGAAAGTACAGCCCGTGTTACATCATCAGGAACACTGAATAGATAGATGATGGTAACTGTGAAGCAGGTTTTTAGTTTTCTGGTCTCATGAACTCAGACAGCTGCGGTACTGACTCATTCTACACCACAGTGCAAGAAAAATGAAAAAGTTATTTTCAATCTTAAGCAACCCAAAAACAAGACATGTGCATTTTCCCTTCTTATTACATCTGTAACATAAGATGCTTAAATACCTGAAATGAAATACACCACATGTTTTGGAACAAGCAGAGCGGTGCAGAAGCAGGTTAATAGCAGATGATATTTGCGGAGGGTAGAGGTAGAAAAGAACAAACAAATGTATGGTACACAGCGTTTAACTTCCATAACTTCAGAGCTCATACCCTGTGAAGGCTGGACACAATCGGGCAAGTGTTTGTGGGCCATGACCCAGATACTTATTTCCAGTCCTGGGCTTTGGACACTGCAGCACAGCATCATCTCCCATTTCAGTCCTTCAGTCCGCACTCATGAGCGGCGCACTCATTCAACAAAGACGCTGTGTTTCCTGTGTGAACTCACGGACGGGGGTTATAGTGTAAAAGCTCACCAGAGCAGTAACATCTGGGAGGGCTTTGTTTACTGCGACTACAGGCACGATGGTGATAGTGTTTACTGTGCGTCGGATCCAAACCAAACCCGAAGATTTGCTGCATATCAGACATTTAAAACCACAGTTAATAACAAGCACGTCGCTATTAGGAACATAAAATCTGTTTTTCTTACATATCTTCTATAGAATAATGATACAAACAATGATTTTTTGTAATCTCATTGTTTTGAGATGTGCACCCCTAAATGTTTGTGCTCCTGTAATGTCAGCGGGCTTCAAGTTTAGTGATTGTGAATATGGCACCATCTACAGGCAATATCCAGACCCCTCTCTATATGAGATCATGCACATGAGAGGTTTCATCACACGCCGGTCATCATAATAAGAGTATATGAGATCACTTAATAGCAATCCAGTGACTATAACTTATTCTGTAGACTCCATGGGATTTTTTTCAAGCACAATAATCTGTACCCATGCTGTGATGCTTTCCAAACCTTAAATGGAGCACACTGTTTTTACACACATTTTTTTTTTACAGAAACATTTAAGGTTTTCAGTTTTTGGCTTTCTAAGTAAACATTTGCTAAACTACAGCGTCACTGAAATAAAACAGAATTTCATACATTTCATACATGGGTTTAGAGTTAAAAAAGGTGGGTGGGGGACATTTGTGCCGCAGCAGACTTTAAATAGAAAAGCAGAAAAAACCTCAGTTTGCAATATTAGCTCAATACCTTTTTTTTTTTTTTTTTTTTTTTTTTTTTGAACAACCCCCGTGAATGAGGTGTAGTCAGGAACATTTACCAGAGCACAAGGAGTCAGCTTCAGAGTTCTTAGGCAGGTGCTGCCCTGCGCAGTGTTTCAACAAATCACAGTAAGCTACTGCTGGGAGGAGCGGCTATCTGATCTTTCCCTCGCTGATTAACATTTGACCCTCTGCTGAGCGTCCACTGCGGAATCCACTGCAGCTGTAATCCTCGTGACTCTCCAGACGGTCACGTTCGTCAAAAGTCAGGTGTTAATTTGCTGTAAACTCTTAAACAGCAGTTTTGTCTTTTATTCAAACAACACGTGAAAACACAACACTGTTTCACTTCCTCACACAATTTAATTAAAAGAGCCTGATAATGATATGAATTAAAACAGGTTTTCCCCCGTCAGCATCTTGTATTTACAAAAGGCACACAGGACATGTGGAGGCATTTATTGTGTCAGTAAATATTACACATTGGGTGTTCATAGCCACACAGAAAATCTGGCCATACGGCGTATTTTCGGATGAAAGGTGCTCTTCTCAAACACTTGGCTGCTTCTCTGTCACACTTGCACAGCAGCTTCTCACATTTGTCCTTCAAATTATCTGCAATGAAGAACATACATGTCTTCTTTCAGTCACAACTTAGGCTTTTATGATTTTCTCATTAACACCGTGAAATTTGTTGTGATCACTTGTTCTAATGGTGTAACTCTAGTTGTATTAATTTTGCTTCCTAGTGATTAATTTGGTACAACTTCTATGGAAACGAGAGAAATCTCCTGAGTAGGAAATCACAGGTAACATACAGTAATTGTGAATATTATGAATACCTTTTACATTGCTTTATTGAAAAAAAAACAAAAAAACATCACAAACAACCCACTATTTTTGGTACTATTATGTGAAAACCTCATTAAAGTTGTTGCTATTTCTAATAATAAATGACTGTGGATTATACAGGCTGTAAACATCCTGCTTTTTACATCCAATCTGCTGCCCATTTACTGTTTTCATCAACTCAGAGTGAGCATCATGTTTTTGTGTGCTGCCACTGAAAAAAAGAAAGCAGCAGCTACCTTCTTTCCCAAATGACAAAATCAAAAATGTTGCATATAGATGCGAAAGCATTAAAAAAAAAAATGCTGTACCGCACTCAGCTGTCTTGTCCTCACAAGTCCACTGATACCGGTCGGTTTTGGTTTGGCAGCCACGACGTTCTGCATCTCCATAACAGCAATCATGTCTGTGGCAACACCTACACACAGAGAAATTAACAACACTGTAAATGTTTTATTTTGAAGGCTGCAGCAGTTAAAGCTCTAGCCTGGAGTACACAGGGTCAAAAAAAGCAGTAGGTGGGTATATTCACAGCACTGTGGTTTGAGTCAAACCACTGCTATTTTAAAGGCAGGGCAGGATCACCACATGAGTTTTCTCAACAGACAGTTAGCAGTTAACTGGTTTGTGGGGGGTTCAGTGTCTCACGGCGAAGAAGAAAAAGAAGGAGACGGCAATTAAGATTTGGGTGTGGAATTTTTGGACCAATTTTGAAGCAGCCATTGGACCGTGTGAGCCTGCTGGATTTGGCCATCATTCCCTCCTTCCATCCCATCGCACTGCATTTGTGGTTCAGTCACTCATTAACAAACGGAAACATGTGTGTACACATCAGGATCTTTAGGATGACTGAGAAGAACCAAAGGCATCCAGCAGGAAGGAATCATGGGTGCACCCCATCCCTGGAGTGGAGGGCTAAAACACCACCATGGCATGCTGAATTACATCTTTGGCAACATATAATGTATAGGTGTGCTATATATAGAGTGTCAAGTGAATGTTTACATTTTGCTACACACTGTTATCAGGCGTGCAGTATTTTCTTCCGTCAGGTTTGGGAGGAGTGTGATTAAAGCTGCTGTCTCACCAGTCTGCCTTGTCTCTGGGCCAGCCCTGACCGCCCAGTCCACAGTAGCATCCGTACATCATGTAGGCCAAGGCAGATCTCCCCGTGCTGCATTTGATGGCTCCGGCCAGCTCCAGTAACCCTCTGTTTGTGCGCTGGGACCTGCGTGCTGCCTCAGAGGCCACGGCCACTGCAAAGAGCGATAAACAACAAAGCTCTCTCCTTGGAAACAAGATGCAGTTTTCTGGGTTTAATATTGTCTGGCACACTTTTTTTTTTTGGTTTCACTTGATGTATAGTTTGATATGCAGTGAGCGGACACAATAACAGGGACATTTGCAGAGCTTTGCTTGCTTTATATTGTGAGATATAAATCAAGCCCCATTTTTTAATTAGCTATAGGATCTAAGAAATCCATAAAGGTGCATGAATCTCAATACCAGAAAGCTACACACATGCCATGCACACCTCAACCAGCTTCAGACAGTAGATAAAGTTGTAGAGCAACATCAGTGTCATGTATTTGCACTTGCTGCCGTAGAATAAGACTCTCACTGGATCACAGGGCATAGGTAAACACAAGCAGTTCCTCCTCAAGGCTGTTACCTGCTCCGACTCCCTCTGTGCCCTCAAAATAACTTTTCAAGCCTCCTGCATGTCATCACCAGTTGGAGCTCCACTTCACAGAGTAAATGAGCAACTCACCAGATAACAGGAGAAGTACCCAGTTAAACCCAGTCATGGCATGCAACAGGCAGCTCAGCTCCACACCGAGTGTTATTCACTTCCACTCTGTGAGTGCGGCGTTGAGTGGAGAGCTTTTTTTAGATGCTGTTTGAATAATCTCCTGAGCATCACTATTGGCCAGAGGCTAATCCAGTGTTTGTAAAACTGTACGCCTCCTGGAGGAAGTAGCCCCGGGATTTTTTTTTTTTTTTTTTTTTTTACTGCCTCTTCTCAGCTCGCAGTGTTTGCTACACTGTTGAATATTTTTTACTTTTCAACAGATAAAAGGCATTTAGGGGCTTTATGAGAGTCAAATATACACAGTTACAGATGAAAACACTATTAGTCTTTCATTCAAAACTTTTTGACTTTGTCGTGGCCTCTAAAAATCACAGAGAAATTCTAGGATGTTGCATCGCCAGATTTAATAGAAAAAGTTTCTCACTCTATGTGAACTGTGAACTGTGTGTTACATAACACACTGGAGTTACTCTGGATGGTCATTTTAAGTCTCGATGAATGGTTAACAAATAAAATGTAAGTATAGGGTTACATAAATGTATGTACAGAATGTATATGGAAAATTAATTATACAAATTTATTAAATTAAAAAAACTTTTCTTACACGTGTATATGAGTTTACACGTCATTACATGTCAGGGTTAATTGTTGCTCACATGGCACCTTCCCAGTTACTTAAACACAATATAAGGCTACAGCTCCTCAAAGCAAATACATGCAGACTTTACAATTATGATAATCACACACTAATAACATAGTTTTTGCTCTATAATCACGAAGAGATTTAGTCATGCCGCCCATCTATCTTCTTCTCTTGTAAATAAACATGTCACTGGAGTAAACAGAACAGACCCTCTCCCCATAAAACAAACACTCAGGAGACACTGTAGCTATCATTATTGTCAGCATGATTTAGTGAGCAGCACTCCAAGTGTCTAAGTTTAACAGCTGAGGTTGTTTATTTGACAAATTGCAGACCTGAGCTGGAAATGGCATGAATTGTATCATATCTTTGCTTTTCATCTTTTTATTATGGTTTCTCAGGGTGTATTTTCAGCTCTGTCACACTGGACTTCATTGTCATCCATAACGGGGTAATGTCAGGGCAGCTAAATCATAAAAGACACACGCTCCGGGTTTTGATAACAGAGGACATATTCACAGTCTTTTTTTTTTTTTTTTTTTGTGATTCAGTTCCTTAGTGATGCTGCTGCACAATGTGAGATAAGCGCCTCCTCCTGGCAGTTATTATAGCTGCCAGGATGACTGTACTGCATGAGGAGACACATCCCTCCATCCCTGTATATCTGATTATTCTCAGCGCAGCCTCAGCCACAAAACATCAAGCCAGCATTAAGATCATGTCGAGCTGAACACACCCTGACTGAAAAGTTTAATGTCAATAATTTGAAGCCTGGTTGAACAGAAAGCGAAATCTCAGGTTTTAATATGAGCTTTGTCAACAACAGACTCCCAGAAGGCTGAGGATGAGTAATATGTGAATGTGATTAAGACTGTAAATGATCCAAAACTAAATTTTTCACATTAAATGACAAAAACAAAAGGCAAAATGAGATTCAGTCTGAGAAACAAACAGAGGATTATGTCAGTATCAAACATTATTTCCTCCCTAGTTTCGATTCAAAAACAAACCAATCTCTGAGGTACACAAAACGAATTACAAAACAACTCTCTGTTCCAATGCTGTTCAATTGCAAACACTTTGGAATAATGGATTTGAAGTTTCACACAGAACACTAACAAAATGCAGAAAAAGGAAGGCAGTTTAATTTGTGCTGTTTTACTTTCTTGTGTGTGTGAATTGTTTTTTATCAGTGTGATGGAAATCTTGGATCAAGGAGTTTTCAGGAGACACTCGATGTATTATTTATTAATATTCATTTGAACCAAGGAGATGAACAATTACAGACGCTAACAGGATATGTCATTCAAAATCTGAAGCGTATATGAACCCACAGGCTCAAGCTCATGAACATGATCGCATGTCTTCCTTGACTTTTGTCCTACTGAAGATGATGCATACTATCCGTCTTTGGGAATCTAAGGCACATCATGTTCAGTGCCAAATGTTCACATCTTCCTTCACTCAATACGAGACCTGCTACAACTTTGGTTACTACGGCAACTGCGGATGGGAGTGGAGCAGCTGCATACTTGCAAGGCCGGAGATGAACAAAGAGCTATGGTGACCTGTGACCGACCTTGTGTGTAGACACTTATTGAATGCAAGGAAAGACTTGAAGTAAGAAATTCCTTCACAATCAGTCCACCTGTAAATCTGTGGGTTAATTCTGCCTGAAATAGAATCAGACAGTGGCTGCAAATGAGTTTGGGGGAAGACAAAGGAGACAGCCAATGATGAAAAGGAAGAAGAAGAGAAGCAGCTGGCTGCCTGGCTCCTCACGCAGATCTGTAGATATACGTCTGCTGCTCCAGCGTGTTTATACTTGTTTTGAAAAGTGTCATCCAACCATGAACCTAATTTGTACTTGACATAATGAAACAGACTCAAATGAATTATGGAGGAAGAAAGACAAGAGAATTAATTTATTTCTGAATATATTATTACTGCATTTTGTTACTGTGTTCTTTATGTCTTTATGTCTCATCATGGTGCAAATAAAAACAATGTTGTCCTTTTGGCACAGGCACAAATATGTCCACTTCCTCTATAAAAAAATGTGTTAAGTGTTTGGTAAGTTTTTTTTAATTTTGATGTGGCCATTTACTGTTATTGCCCATAGATAGCCATTACTTGTAGTGTTTCGTTTGCAAATAACAAAACAACAATGGTGTAGTGAGACACAAAGTGAAAGACATTTGATCTACACATTTGACTAGCTGGGAATTAGCTTCTACAAGGGCTGGATCCTCATCAAGCTGAAGGCAATTGAAACTGCAACAATGTTAAAACAAGAAACACCACTTGGAGTAAATCTTCTAAATATTTTTTGATATTGTTTTTTTTATAAATCATATTTATTTACATGTGTTTCTTTATTTTATTTTTTACCTTTATTCATGTATTTCCAAATACATAATTATGTTTAGTGATGAATGCTTGTTGAAGTTGTATTGTCATTTTGCATGTGAAATGTTGTCATATTCCTCCACTGCCTGTGAGGAGCAGTAGTGCAGTGGAGTCGCTGTTCGCCCTGCCTCCATTCACAGTAGAAGAAGAAGCAAAGGGCGGCCTTCGGCGATACAGCACATCTAGCTAAGTTATTTTAGCTAAAACGAAAAATCACTTTCCCTCCTTTTAGGTAACCGGCGTAGGTTTTGTTTGGAATAAAGATCCATTCATGTAAGTATGTACAGCGGCCACTGGTAGCTCATATGTGTGATATTTAGCGGGTCTCAACCAGGAGCTAAACATGTACAGCTCGCTATTGTTTGCGTTGGGGAACTAGTTTAACTTGGACATGCCTTTGCTTTGTTAGGTGCAGGCTACTTCCTAGAAACTTGGTCGGGTAGCGTCATGTAGCTGCTCAAGCCCGTGTGTTTCCGGCACCGGAGAAAACTGTTAAGCTTATTTGTGTGTGGTTAAACAGCGGTTAAACTGTGGGCTACAGTTCGCTAACCTTTGCTAGCAGGTGATGATTGCTAACGAGAAGTCTCCTCTGTGGTCCCCGGCCGCGGGTAACACACGTGCGCTAAATGGTATGTGTCCATTGTCGGACACATCTTTCTCTCCCATAAAACTTAAAATAAATTACATCTTTTTCTATAGTCAGTACTTCGGTCTTGAAGTAGACGTTATTGTTAGCTTCTTGACACAATAATGTTCATTGAATAAAGTTAATTTTGGCTTTGCTGACCGAAGCAGGACAGGCACACCCGCCTATAGCTAACATGAAGTTACCACCATCTTTCTGCCCGATGAGTTTATAATTATATGGTTCTGTAACCCAGATCCTCATCTGATTAGCAACTAAATGTAAAGAAAAGTAAAGTCAAATTGCCAGAAATATGCTAGTTATTAAACATTAGCTATGACGAAGCAGGGTTGACAGTTGTAACTTGGCGGGTTTTATGCGCGGATTGCAATGTTTCACATCAAAACATGATAATTAGTTAACAGTAACGTTATATGATCCAGTAGAAACCATCCTGGCACTCAAAACATAAGTGGCTTTTATTTGTTTCTATTGAAACACTTGAGTTTGTTAGAAAGTAGCCGCTGATAACTGCCGAATTATCAGCCATCAAAATGTGTCCGATAATGGAGCTACTGCTGCGTTTAGATGCTAAGTTTAAACAGTTTCCCAGGACCAGTAAGCGCACTCATTCTTATCCACAGCTTCAGGTATTTAGTCCAACTTTTGATTCTAATCTCAAACACTTCCTCTGTTGACACCATTAGCTCTCAAGCTAACAAAAAATTTAATTTCCGGAACTACATTGTACTCGTCATTATCAAATGCGGAAGTGATAAAAAAAAAAAATAAAAAAAATCCCCAGAAACCAAGCTGGATGAACCTCATGAAGACTTTTTTATATAGTGACTGTCAAAAATTAGTGAGTGAGCAGCCACTTAACCAGTTGGACAACCTGTAGATGGTGATTAATGATAAGGAAGAGGTGTGTTTATGCTGGCACTGTGGGGAATTTCACCTGTGACTTTTACCGGTCAATACAACAATGTGTATCACAATTTCAGGTGCTGACTGAGGAGTGGATATTAAAACACGCAAACATGTCCGGAGCGTGTCAGGACAGAAGGACTCGCTGGCAGGAGATCCAGAAAGGCTTGCAGTTCATCCAGTAAGTGGCATGGCTTGTCATGGGTCAGACCCGGTTTG